TGTAAAGCTGTAGCCAAATATCTTGCAGCAGGTGTAATTGTCACATCTAGTCTATCTCTGACCCACAATTAATCCTTGGCTTTTTCTACAACCAATTAGTAATCACTATACATTCTTGTGGGGGGGGGGGGGATGCTGATGATTAATTAGTCTTCCTTGGCCCCTCCCCCGATGGCGGCACTGGCAACGTGTGCGATGTGAGTTTTTAAATTACTGCAATGACTTCAGCCTTCAATCCTGAGAGCTCTGCATCGCTTACTTGGAATGCAACCAGAATCGTCAATCCCCAGAACGCTTTTTGTGATCGAAACTGATTCTCTGTGACATATTCATTTCTTCAAAATGCATTTCCCCCTAAGGATTTCACAGGCAAAACAATTACTTTGAATGGTTTTTAATTAAAGATACTTAGACTGCAAGAACCTTTGGTTCTTATGGAAGGGGGGACAGATCCCCTTTGCTACCCAGAAGTTGTTTTCCTCCCTATTCTGGAATCTTTGGTTCCTTTTGTGTTGTCATCTGGCATCCTGTCTTTCTTCCCCTCTTCATGCTATCATGCACTACTTTGTATAAACAATGTAGTACTGGATTGCAACACATCTTTGGACAGTCCCTTGTTGTGCTATATAAAAATAATGAAATGATTGCTGCGTGTGGCTGTTTACCTGCTAAAAACATCGCATTTATTGCGAAATGAGTCACTCCTAAGGTGATAAACTCCCAGGTGTATTTAATGTATTACTTCAAGCTGGGCCAAAGAACGGCAGATAACCTGTAATAAATTACTTACTCATTGACGCAGACTGGCAACTAATGAAAAGATTTGCATTTCCCACCTTGGTACAAAAGCACACACAACCCTTCTAAAACAAGAATTTAAAACTTCCTAGCATTTGTTTTTGTTTTGTTTTATACATTTACTCTGAATGTTTCCACATGAATGACAAGGGTACATTTTTCCATTTAAAGAAAGCTTTACTGTAATTACTCATTAGACACAGTGTTACTTGTGAATGAACGTCTACAAACAACTGCCCTTAATGGACCTTGGACAGGTTCTCTTACGTCATTCAGGAAAGCATGCAGGACATAAACAAGGCCTGGGATCGTGGATAATGCTGCCTGTCTGTCAGTAATCTGCATTGCGGGAGGCATTGACATTTTGTTCAATTACATGTGTTTTCCCTTTTCAAAAAGTAATTTTTAAAACATCATAATACAACCAAAGGCAACAAAGTTTTGAGTCCATAGGTATCTTTATTGCCGCTCAAGAGAAGTTCCTTCCACATACACTATATGGACAAAGATATTAAGACACACATCTTAATCATTGAATTCAGACCCATTGCCACAGGTGTTTAAAATCAAGCACCAAGCCATGCAGTCAAGTTTACAAACCTGGGTCGTTCTGAAGAGCTCAGCGAATTCATGCATGGTGCTGTCATAGGATCCCACCTTTGCAATAAGTCAGTTCATGAAATGTCTTCCCTGCTAGATATTCCAGTGTCACCTGTAAGTGGTGTTATTGAGAAGTGGAAGCATTTGGGAGCAACAGAATCCCAGCCACAACGTGGCAGACCGTGTAAAGTAACAGCGCGCGGCGGGGGGGGGTCGCTGAGTGCTGAGGCGTATAGTGTGTAAAAGTTGCCAACACTCTGACTCAATAACTACGGAGTTCCAAACTTCCCCTGGTATTACTCCAGCAGAGTAACTGTATGCTGGGACTGGACTCCGGAGCAGTGGAAACATGTTCCATGGAGTGATGAATCACGCTTCTGTCTGGCAGTCTGATAGATGAGTCTGGGTTTGGCAGATACCTGCCGTATGTTACCTGCCTGACTGCATTGTGCCAACTGTAATGTTTGGTGGAGGAGAGTGTCGGGGTCAGCACCCGTCTGTCCCAGCCTGTCGCGTCTCCTCCCCATTTGGCCAGCAGGTGTCGCTGGCCATCCTGTCCTCCCTGTTGTCCAAGTCCTTAGTGTGTTTCCCCAGCTACCTCGACTGCTGCATAGCTCTATGGGCTGAGTGTGCACCTATAAACTCTGCAGTTGTGAGTTTGAGGCCAGCTGCCTCTGTTTTTGTATTTATTGGATTTTGTTCCTTAATGTATCTCTTGTATCAGTTTTCCTGTTCCTAGTTTGTGCTTTGTGTTCTGTTTCGGTTTTTGCTTTGTGCCCTTGGTTATGTATTACTTGACTTGTTATATTCTTCTGTTTCTTAGCTTCGCTGTTGGTCTCTTGGTACCTTGATTAAGTTTATTTGACTCACCTGTTTCCCTGTGTATCATAATTACTCTACCTGATTGCTCATTGTCCTCCACCCTCTCTGACTGGCTAATTGTTTCATGTCTCATGCCTCCTACTTCATTACTCAGTTCAGTTTGTGTATTTATGTTCCTGCCTCAGTTCAGTTCTTTAGTAGGTCACTGCTTCAGAAGGTTAGCTGTTACACTGTGCTGCATTATGAGCTTGTGCTGTGTTCCCTTGCCTGTTCTTGCTCATTCTGTTGTCTTGTTCTTGGTGCTTGTTTCCTTGTCATTTCTTGTAGTTGGTGGTTTTTTTCCCCACATTTTGCTTTTTGACTCCTTGAGGTCCTTTCCTTTGTAGTTTTACCCAGAGAATTGTTTCCTTAATAAACGCCTTTTGTTTCTGAGCCGCTAGTGGATCGTCACCTCCTTTTTCCTGCCTGCACCATGCCTCGCTCCCGTGACAGAAGGTTAATGGTATGGGGTTGCTTTTCAGGGGTTGGGCTGGGCCCCTTGGTTACAGTGAATGAAACTCTTAATGCTTCAGCATACCAAGACATTTTGGTCAATTCTGTGCTTCCAACTTTGTGGAAACAGTTTGGGGAAGGCCTTTTTCTGCTCCAGCATGACTGGGCCACAGTGCACAAAGCAAGGTCCATAAAGACATGGTTGTGTGAGTTTGGTGTGGAAGAACTTGACTTGCCCACACAGAACCCTGACCTCAACCCGATAGAACACCTTTTGGGATGAATTATAGCAGAGATACACTCAAAAAATCTTGTGAAACACCTTCCCAGAATAGTGGCAGCTGTTATAGCTGCAAAGTGGGGACCAACACCATATTGATGGCTATGGATTTAGAATGGGATGTCATAGAAGTTCCTGTGGGTGTAATGGTCAGGTGTCCCAATACTTTTGTCCATATAGTACATGTCACCTTGTGTTTGACCAGACATGGGTAAATGATAAAACTAGATATGAAAAATGTCAAGGCTTATTGTGAAAACAGATGATTGAATGTCAGACACAGGAGCATTGCCAGAGATATTGGACCCCCCCCAGTCTGGTTATGTTCCTTTACAGGCACCCCTGATGAGACACATATGAGTTTCATGGCTGTTATGTGTCTTATGTGAGCTGTAGTTCAGGCTCTGTGGCAGATTTAAAGCAATACAGCCTCTATCATAACTACCATGTATTATTGCAAACCTGGAAGTAGGTCAGCAAGAGACATATTATATAAATTGTTGGTTAATGGAGGAACAAGGGGCAATGACTTTGTCAACAAAGAACGAGCCAAGTGTTATGGGCAAATGAACCATGCAAATGAAAAGCAGTCAATCTAATGTTAATTATTTACTCTGGAATGTTGAAGCCCCACAAAGACTATTTGGGGCGTCATTGTTTACAAGCGAATCTTATCTGAAATACCATATGAATGATAATGCTACAAATCTACCCACAGATTTTGCTTCGACGTCTTGTGACTGAACATTGAACTCGTCTTCAGTGAGTAATGATGCAGATATCAAAAAAAAAGAATTTCCTATGTTTACTATTTGTCCACAAGTTTAATTTAAGGTTAAATAAAGATTGTCCACTGACTGGCTTTTGGGATTGACACCGAACAATTTCTTCTCATAGCTGCTGGTCAATAGATAACACCTTCACCTCCATTCATGACAAATTATGTCCTCCAAAGACAAGGCCAAATCATTTGTTATTGTTTATATTCTTCCCAGTACAGCCATTCTAAAAATATTGTCTTCCATGAATTCCAAAAATGACTTAGGAGCTTACTGAGATACAGTTGCGTGTTCATCTAGACTGGATTTTTTCCATGCTATTATTATTGGCCACCCTTCACGGCCTTCAGTAATGTTGTCATTACCTTTATCAAACAGCAAAATACTAACGATAAACTTTGGCACAAGGGCAGTCTGCATGTGGTCTGCTGATTTAGACATTATCAAAGAACCACATGTTCTTCTTAGTCCAAATCACATGCCTGCTAATCTTAAAGGGCGGGTCACAGCATATGGTGGGTTTCAGTTGTTATCTGTGCTGCCTACACATACAAGTACAAGCATTTTGAGAAATGCTAGGCTACAGTCATAACCATCTGTTTATGCAGTAAGTCACTGGTACCTAGGGGCTTAGTATAGGATATAAGGCAGGGAAATACCCGAGATGCGATGGCAATCCATCTTAGGAGGCACACACACTATAGGTAATTTGAAGATAACTAACGATGTTGGGTTGTGAGCGAACACGTGGTGAAAACACGCAAACTCCACAAAGAACAGGGTGGGGGAGGGGTGGAATTTTAATCCTCAAAAGGGAAAAAAGGAACAAATTCACACGCTTCACTTCCCGAAAATTCTTCCCTATGATACTTGATCATGGATATTCCAGTAACCAACTCATTACACTGAACAGAAAAGGCAGACTCAACCGGAACTTTAGATCTTTATGTAAAAACTAACTGGGAGCAAACTGCACGTTTGAACTGAGTCATTGTGACGGCTGTTCGTGGACATTTTGCAACATGCACGTCCTCATCGAAAGATCTTTCTTGCACTTTTGTCCAGGGTGTATAGTTATTTTTGTTTTTCCATATCTGAGCACACGTCACGCATCCTGCACGTCTCCAGCGCGCGCCCCTGTACAGGAACAGAACGGGGTGTGGTGATTGGTGACGTCACTGCCATCAGCGTCCTCCCATTGGTCGGCGCGACTCACCAGACTGTCCGTTCGCTCCGCAGGTCCACGCTGTTGTCATATGAGATCAGAAAGCGACGCCCCTCTCATTCTTGCGTTATTGATAGTGGGATATGAAACAGCTTCAGTTGCGCGAACTTATTTTCACTCACATCTAAGTTCTGAATGAACGTGGATTCATCGGGCAGCCCAGGTAATAAAGCGATTTTTTCAATACCTCAGTCGAAATCAGCAACATATCTGTGAAATTAATGTAGTGTATTAGGAGTTTCTGCTTATATTTGGGCTGGTGCTGTTTTAATTTACAAATGTGATTTGGCTGCGCCGCCTGATGTTTTCGCTATGGCGCTGGATCGCCCGTAGTACCGCAGTGATGACGCTGGGTGACAGGGGGTCGTGTCTTTCTCTCCCCCTCTCTCTCTCCAGCGTTAGTGCCAAATGCCAGAGCTGGAAGCGCAGTGCTGGCACTGTTCGTGTCCGACAGGAACGAAAGCTAAGAGCACCCCAGGCGTAACCTCCATAGCCTCGGCGGCGGTAATGATGGCCGCGGTCTCAGCCCCCCTGAGCAGCGTCCGGGACACTCTGCGCCGCGTCCAGGCGACGCACTTGATCAGGCAGGGCCTTGTGCTTTTCGCCGTCGGGGTCTTGTTGGCGCTGGTGCTGAATTTGCTGCAGGTACAGAGGAACGTCACCTTATTCCCGGAGGAGGCCATGGCCATCCTGTTCTCGTCGGCATGGTGGGTTCCACTTTGCTGCGGCACAGCTGCTGGTAAGTGTCTCTGCTATTTATTCTGTATAAAGTAGCGTGCATGATGTGCAACAGGCCTTATAAAGCATGCTTTATATAAAAAAAGCACGAATGCATCCCGTTTAGTGTTCTTCCATTATTGTTTTACTGTGAGATGGTCTGGTTTTCATGGAGACTTAAACTATACGAGGGGCAGGTTATGCTTCCACTATAAAGCTTCACATTTCTTCCCAACAAGCTATAACCTGTAAGTGAGCCATAAATAGCATCTGTACAGTTATTTTGTGTGTTAACTAAAAGAAACGACCCTGGGGTACGAGTTCCGTTTCCCTGCATGTGTCTCGTTCACGGTCCTGCCCGTTCGCTGGTTGGCTTAGCATCAACTCGGCGCCTCCTTCTGATTGGCTGTCGTCGTAACTGGTGAGCTTCTGTTGCGGCAGCTGATTGGCTCTCAGCTCGAACGTGCCACTCGCCGAGGGAGAGGAACGGGGAAGCCCCGCGCTGAGGGGATTTGAACAAACGCAGCTGTAGTAAACTCCATTCTGCATGGAGAAAGAATTTTGATAATGGCGGAAAACGGTGCGCTCCCAAGCGGTTGCATATGCTATTTAATATGTTATATGCCCTAGGAAACTTTTTGCTCTCGTATGGTGTGTAACCAAAGTTGCATTTTTCTTGCAGCTGTGGTCGGTCTGCTGTATCCGTGCATCGACCGACACCTGGGGGAGCCACACAAATTCAAGAGGGAGTGGGCAAGCGTCATGCGCTGCATCGCAGTGTTTGTGGGCATCAACCACGCAAGCGCCGTATCCTTCATTTACTGACATCCCCCCCCCCCCCCTCGCAGGGCTACTGTCAGTGAACATGCCTCAGTTGCCCGTCATTTGCAGACTATTTTGCCCCCAGATCAGCATGCTTGCTCGCAAAAGGGGGGGGGGAAGAAGATGGTCAATCCACTCGCCCCCCCTTTCTGAGTTACGTTTTTCATTTTTCCATTTGCTTATCCATTTTAGGTTAGTGGAGTGTTATCCATTTGTGTCACAATGCAGTAACACTGTAGTCCTTAATGACACCCGCTGCAGAAACTAGACTTTGCCAACAACGTCCAGCTGTCTCTCACCCTGGCGGCCCTCTCACTGGGTCTCTGGTGGACTTTCGACAGGTCAAGGAGTGGCTTTGGTCTGGGCATTACCATCGCCTTCCTAGCAACGCTCGTCACACAAGTGCTGGTCTACAACGGTGTCTACCAGTAGGTATCCTGTGCCCTAGCCAAGCTGGCTGCATGTAGAATGTAGCTATTGCTGCTGTTTCACCGAAGCTGGAACAGAAGGGTGAAGTAAAGTTTTCATGTTGGCGATCAAAGGACCGCTTGTGTCTCTGCTCTGTGTTCCGGAAATGAGAACGGCATTTTGACCAGGCCTAGATCTGGCCAGCTGGGTTAGTTCAGTGTGACCCTGCTGGTTGCATGGATAAGGCGGCTTCTGAAGGTGCTGCCCGTTCTTCTGTCACACAGGTACACCTCGCCAGATTTCTTGTACGTTCGCTCCTGGCTCCCTTGCATCTTCTTCTCTGGCGGAGTCACGGTCGGAAACATCGGGCGGCAGCTGGCTATGGTAAGTCATGCCTGCCTCTCGCGCCGCGTCGCGTGCGGCCCAGTGTCCCATCCTGTTTGCTTTACGGCTGTATCCTCCCTCCCCCAGGCCAGTGCTGAGAAATCCCACAACGACTAAGGAAAACGGTGTCTCTCATCCCAGTGGGGGGCTGGGTGCTCTGGGAAGATTCCTGTATGTGCAGTTTCCCCTGGAAGGAGATTATGGATGAAGATCCACGTTTTTCATGTCGAGTTCCTCTTTTCTGGAGACTTTTAGAGGACTGTGCCAATTCCGGAGCCGACTGTTGGAACATTAGCGTCTCCTTGTGGCCAAACCATGTGTCTTTTTCTTTTTTAATTATTTGATCTTGGTCTAAACCTATCCACAGTGTTTGCTCTCATATTATGTATAAGGACGGGTGTTTTGTGAAAAGAATGGCACTACAAAACTTCTGATGTTGAGCACGGAGCTGTCTGTCAAAAAGGAAACTTTTAAGGGCGATTCTGCTGTTGGCGTGTTAGCGCCCCCTACCTTAGCGCATCCTGACATACAGACTTGTGTGCTGCGTTAGTGGGGTGTGCGTCTGCTGAGTTCTGAGCTGTCTCCACCCTGGCGCCGCACGTGTTGACGAAAGGCCGCTCTTCTGAGCAGACCTGGGCCTGTGGTGGCAGGGGGCGTGTTTCCGGAACCAGACTGACGCGTGAGGGCCAATTGGGGCAACCGCATTGCTCCAGGTTCGACGGCATAGGGTGCATCTGCCCTGCGATCTGCAGTCTGTGATTGCCTTTGTAATATAACTGAGTGCTTTTGTCACTGTTGAAGTTTCATAAATTGTAAATAACACATTTATGCAGAGCTTCCGCGTATAAGAAAAACAAAGACGTAGTTTGTGTCGGGGCCTCGTTAACCGGGGTCACCGTTATTGTACAAGTGTGTCCCTGTCCTGTATCATTTTTTATGTTCCTGTGTTTCTGTCACTCATTACATGCAGGCTGGACGTAAACTGTGTCAAAAAATCTGGTCAGAATATCTTTGTCTTGCCCTGGAGGTAAAGGATAGCTAGTATTTTTTTGGTTCCCGGTTCTCTGCCCGATGGTGTGTCTGACCCACGTGTATATGGGTGACTAACGTCACTAGACGTGTCTCTCGTGACAGAAGAGACTGCCATCTGTCCCATGTCTGAGGATGATTCGTTCAGTCTGTGGCCAGTGATGGGACTTGCCTGCTCTGCTTAAGGTGTTGGGGGGGGCTGGATGTTCCACTGCCCTCCGCCCACCGTGTCTCTGCATCATAGCTGGGCTGCAATGGTCTCTGGAGAGCCTGGTCCGGTACTCAAGCCTTTGAATCTTAGCTGATTGGATGGAGCAGCTTTAGGTAACGTTACAGCTGTAAGAGGCGTAAATTCAGGTCTTAACCACAGGCGACAAGGAAAAGACTAAGTTTTTCTTAAATCGGTGTGGTGTTTATTGTCCAGCTTTAAACTGTGTATTCTTTCTATTACCTTGATTTCAAGGAACTGAATAAACATAAACAAACATTTGTTTCCTCTTTTGTGGCGTGCAGAGTGTGCTCGGTGTCTCCATCCACGTGTGCAGTTCGGCTGGCTGTAACCCCGCTGACTGCAGAGCCCCTGGTCTGATATACTGACCACGTGACTTCTCCTGTAATACGACATGTCTTTATTATATTATGCTGTTCTGAATAAAATACTGCAAGTGGGACAGTTCCCACCGCTGCTCACGGCGGAAGCAGCTACCTACTTGGGACTCTAGCCTAGAGAAAATAAGATAAATCAGTCAGTAAAGTCTTTGATCTCCGCTGCGAGCTACGGTCGGGCTTGTTTGAAATTCCCTGCGGTTTTCGATGCGCGCCGGGGCGGGACGATCGGCGGCTCCTTCGCGCAGCGGTGCGGCGGTACAGCTCGCTGGAGTCCGGCTTCTGCAAGCTCCGGCGCAGCGGGACCGGAGCCTGACGGACTGGGGAGTCCCTGCACGCGGTGGGAGATGCTGTACGACGTGGGAAGCCGAGAGGCATCCGTGCTGTTTTGAAATGGGGTTAGAAATTACGTTTTCCCAAACTGCATAATAAATGTTTAAAGTCCTCAGTCGTTATTTTTTCTTGCTCAGTAAGTGTGGCACATAATTTATGTGATATTTGAAATATAAATACCATGACATTGAAACAGCTAAGTGTATAACACCATGTAAATGATATGCGTGGGGTTTCCGAGATGGCTTTGCTTAAGTCTTTGTAGAAATTCCAGTAGAAGAAAAGTTTCTATCGTTGTCTTAATCCCCCAAATAACAGGAGTATTTCAAATCGACGGTTTTTCTGTGCGTGGGTCTTAATTATGGGCATTACTCAAATCCACAATAACTACGTGAGACTATAGTGCAGCAGTTGGATTATGACACATTTGTAGGTCTGGAGTAATTTATAATTAATGTATAGGATTGACAAACAAAGCGCAGTAATTAATCTGAGTAATCCGACATTATGCGTCTGCTGTTGAAATACGAATTGATGTATTTAGCCGTAACAGCACTCTGAGTCTAACAGGGCATAAAGCAGCTGAAAGGTGATGGTTTCTGTCTGCATTCCTCGGTAACCATCCGACCCCGTCCTGTTGCCTCTTCCCCAGATTGCGTCATAGTTCAGATGGTTGAACATGTGACTCAGAAGCCGTTAGCCTTTAGGTTATGGGTTTGAGGCTGGCCAGGGGCCTATGTTTTACTTCCCAGTGAATGTCACTTTGTTTCCCGGTTAGAGGTTTGCCCTGCTTTTGTCCTGTGCCCTGTACGTACTACGAAGCGGGGTTACTGGTTTATCGGGGTAACTTGTCGGATTTAAGTTACCGCAGTTTAAATGGACTTCATATTCGTTCACTTACATTTTGCCCAGACTACCTTAAATCCGACCACGATAAGCCAGTAACCCCGCTTCGTAGTAGCTACAGGCCACTGCTCTCATCCATTCCCGTTTGTGTTTTGGTTTCATGTTACTTATTCGTATTGTGTAATTAGCGTTTCTTACTTGCAGTGTTTGTAATTGCAGTTTCCCTAGTCTTTCATTAGTATAAGTTACTGGACCTGTTGCCTGTTTTCCCCGCGCCGTTGTTATTGGCTAATTGCCTTTGTGTGTCACATCTTCCTCAGCTCGCTTGTATTTTGTATTTAATCGCTTGCCCTCCTTCTATGATTCATCGTGTAAATGTTACTGTGTGTTTGTCCGTCCTGTTCCCTGTGTGCTGCTTCGTTCCGTTGTTGTGTTTATTCTGTGGTTTTTAGTTAATTCTTTATTTATTTAACCTGTTGATTTTCTGACCCCTCGTGGTCCTTTTGTTTCGTAGTTTCACCCAGTATTTTCAGTTTCCCCAGTAAATTCCTTTTTGATTTTTAGTGGATCGTCGCATTGTTCCCACCTGCGCCATGCAGCACCAAAGAGCTTGGCGAATAGCCAACGACGTAGGTCAAGAAGTAGTGGGATTCGCGAGTGTTTCCCAAAGCCCTTCGTTATCCGACATTTAACGAACGAACTTAAAGTGGTTCTATGTTTGATCCCCCCCGGCGTCCACGTGAGAAATGCACAGACTGTCGGTAACGGGGCGCCTGCAACGTGGCTTATTCCTCTAATCAGGAATGAGCTGCAGTGACGATATTCATGCCGTTAGCCCCTCTTCCTTTCTGGAAGAAAGCAGCTAAACGTGACCATTCCTACTGCAAAAATACTTCTCAAGGTAAAGTTTTTGTCATACTGTCTAAAATGTTTGCGTGAAGCATTGTAAAGTCACTTCATTTTAATCAGTGTTTGCTTACCTTCTAACAGGCATGGTTAGCATGTGTCGAAGCTATTGTGTCAAGTTAGCATAGCAAGTTTTTTCTTTGCTGTAGGGACAGTTGCAACCGTCCCAACATGCTATTGCGCTGAAAGAGAAGCTGATTATACTTCCCGCAACTGCGAGTCTGATGTGGACTAATTGCCCTCTTACCCTTTCTCTGTGACACACACACACAAGCTACTTCACATGCACTCACACACACAGATGACTTCCCTGCATATCCAAAGGCACTCTTAAAAATACTTTACAACATTTACGTAAACACACACAGTTCACTTCAGTAAGTCTTCACCTGGCGTGGATTTCCTGTTACCCTCTGTCACACACACACAGGCCTGCATCACATACAGTCAGTCACACACACACACACATCCAGGCGCACACTCGAAAATATATTCCAACATTCACTTACACACACACACACACACACACTGTTCAGTTTAGGAAGTAGTAAAATACATTTTGTAGTTCAAATGTCTGTCAATAAAAGTGATTGATTGATTGAAATGTGCTGTGATAATTAACCAAAACATGCAAATTACTTTTCACTTTGTCTTCATAAAGCTAGTTTAACTTGGGGAAGACCCTTTCTGTGCATAAATAAATTACAAAATTGTTAAAAATGATTTATTACATTTTAATGAATGTTGCAACTCTCTTCTGCTATGGGGTCAGTTGCATCATTTGACTTTGTCCATTACATGTACATTATAGGTATGATGTCATATATACAAGTTTCAGCAGTATGGGTGGATAGCTGACAGATGTGGGTTTAATGTGTTCATATTTTTTTCTTTCCAATACAAATAAAGTATTATCACATTAGACATATGCAAGTGGAAAACAAAAACGAAAATAAATCATCTGAAACAAGCAAAATCACCCAAAACGAAGACCAAAATTAACCTGTTAGTCGAAAATATATAAATGGGCTCAAAACATATGGCCCCCTAGCAAAAAAAAAAAAAAAAAACAATGTCGATCAGCAATAGGAAACCGAAGCAACACTTCTCAAAAGAAGAGTTAAAGCAACTTAAAGAAGCGGCCAAAATGAAATCTTAATAAAATAATCACTGCAATGCTATGCAGCATAGCTCGCACAACCACAACAGCAGGAATGTCTTGTACATGCACCGGAATCACATCCTCCCTGAGCACAGAGCCCACGCTACAACAGAGTGTTTCTTTGTGTGTTTTTATGCCTCTCCTCGGTCACGGTTTGGGGATTCAACACCAGAGTTAGCAGGTATTCGTGAAAAGGACACCCATTGTCTCCCAGTACTAGCCACTAGCAAACCGCTCCAGACTTGGACCAGATATAAGCATCGTGCTCCCAGGCCACTGGGCCCCAATGCCTATAAAAAGTCCTTGATAGTTATATATCACCTGGACACTGCAGATGGGATTCAAGAGGTTGGGTGTATGTGTAGGGAAAAGCACTCCATCCACTACCCCCACAATACCAGGCAGGCCTGCAGTGGCATTTGGCAAATCTGATGACTTATGACTGGACTTGACTTGGACTTGAGGGTAAATGACTCGTCTTGGGCCCTATGACTCGAGGACTTGAGGTTATAGTCCCCCCCTCTGGATCCCATAATTGTTCATTTTATCATTTGACTTGGATTTGAGTCACAAATTTGATTACTTTTGACTCGACAAGAAAAACGATGGAAACTCGACATGGACTTGAGGGCACCTGACTTGAGAATGGACCCGGACCTGCGATATTTTGACTCGAGACTTGATTCGGACTCACCAAGGAGTGACTTGTGCCTCCTCATTACTCAATACAATAGTAATCTGGTCACTGCATGCACAGATTTGGACACAACGGCCCTGCCAAGGCTACGTGCATCGCTGACGGTCTGCAGGGAGTATAGAAACAGCCATAAGAAGCAGCTCTGTGCTGACGGGAAAGTTCCAGTGTGTCCCTATATCAATTTATCCTGCACCAGACTAAGGAGGCTCATTATTTCACCCCAGGCCAGCCTGTATTTCTCTATTAATTGTTTATTACTGAGAAGGTCCAAGTGGTCGTCTCTGTCCACAAAACAATATTTAGTCCCGCAACTTAGTTTTTCGGATGGCGCCGTCTGAAATGCCATCTCATGTCAAATCTCTGGATAGTTGCCGTTGCTGGTAGCAAAGGGTGATTCACTTTCCCACATTGCCGCCTGTGACTGAATACATATATAGCAGATTCGATGAGTTAGCTCACCTCGTACCAGGGTCGTGCGAAAGTCAGAATTTATGACTTGAAATTTGACTGAATTGGCCGCAACCTGAAGAATGTTAAACTGAAATGAAATGTCAGGAAGAGCAATTCAATAAATTTCATTTAAACGAAATTAAATGCAGGCACACATCACTGCAATGCCATTTAACATAGCAAAGCATAAATTATATATTTACCTTATTGATGGTAAATATATATACTAACTTTGTATATCTACAAGTGAGTAAAGTGTGCTTTATATTAACATGACTGTATAAGTGAAACAGAAAAAAATCGTGCATATCTTTTCTCCTATTGCAAATATATACATTTGGTTTACGTTAGCCAGCTAAATCCATTTTCATGGGCACAAATTTAATGTTCATGCATATTTAATCATTTACATGAGCTAGCATTTCTGAGGAGAGTTTTCTTGGGAGTGTTTGTGGGTTGTCAGCTGGGTAGGATTGTGAAACGGTTACT